ATTGCTAGCGCTGCATGATAATAGATACTGGACTATTATAAGGTGTCGGTGCATGATAAAAAATAACTGGACTATTGGTCTAATATTTAAGACTTTAACTAAGTTTGCATTTTTTACGTTAGTCGCGTGACTGGTTTGACGACCCCTAGATCCGCCCCTGTTATGGACTGTAAAATTCCTTTCATTTACATTGCTGAAGCTCAACGATCAAGAATGATTATGTCGAAGACTCGAAGTATAGCTATCTGTCATCAGACGAACACCAAGACCACTGTGCGTTTCCGTGCGTGCGGTACATATAACTTGAATATTTAGGACGATATATGCACCAGATTGCACCAGAAACTGGTATTGTACTTCATAGTAAATTATTTCATATTTTGTGTGTTACAGTAATTTACAGCAGGTACATTAATTTATAAACCTTATAAAGACCTTTCATTCCCATTGCCCATTCAGGGCTTTATATTTGAAGAATAACCCGACAGCTTCTTTGGACTTGTATAATGCTGCTGTGAGTCATCAATATTTAAATCAACTTTAAATAATCTTTATCGTATACTGTATAAATGACATTTTAGCAGTTTCACCAAACCTTACTAGAGGCAAACAACCTATCTATCAACGGAAACTTTAAAAGGCTTATTAAAACTCATTAATTAAGTAATTCTTTGAGCTGGACTTCGTGCGCATATATACAGTTTATGAATTATGTATATATATCCCTGATAAAACGTAGGGACACTTTATACCAGATATAATAAAAAATACTTTGCTAAACCTTTTCGGCTATCATTCCTTTGCATTCAAGGGGCGAGGGTGAATGGCTATATGATTCATATCGGAGATTCTGTGCAATCTGATTTAGTGATTTCGGCTTCAACAAACAGGTACTCGTGCAGACAAAAAAGGAAATGCATACAGTTGTGAATTGTCGTATAATTCTTTACTGTTGATCCCAAACAATTTTGTACATGTACGTTAACACTCCTTCCTACCTTGTGTTGAATATAAACGATGATAACCTTTTTACAAAAATCTAGAGCACTATGTCTATAAACCGTTTTAGAATCAATAGAATGGGCATTCAATGTCTATTTGGCTAGTGTCCAAATATGTAACGTTTGCTGTAGGACCAACAAGGCGCTACGCCTACGACCTACACAGTCGCTTTTGAGACCTCTATTTAACAAAATTTATACCGTTTCCATATGACAACAATTCAATGGCATATTATAAGAATATTATACGTATCTGAACCAGAGCCAGATACAGAAACGTACGCGTGAAATGAAACTGCGCCCTAACCCCGCGAGACAATAAAAGGGCAAATATTTCCAAGCATATACGATCATACGTTTTCGTTGCTTGATTTTCTGACTTGTTTGTTGCTATAAGAATCTACAGTTTAGCATGTTTGTATAATTTCAAAGCAAACAGAAACCAATTTAGCAAGTATTTTGAAGTATATATGATTCTCAAAGATGATTGTATAGAACGGTCACTCCTTGCAATCGAAGTGTGAGGTGCGGAAGTGGAAACATGTAATTTGATACTTTTCCATCCCCCACTTAGGTTATCAATTTTCTATGGGTCACGTGACCAGTCCCGACCAGGGTCTTTGCTTCACAAGAGCAAAGAGCCTGGGAACGAGGTTGAGCAAACAGCCGTATTATCAACAGACTATAAACAGGTATTAAAATATTTTAAATATTTGGAACAAATGGTAGAATGTACTCTATTTTCTCAGAAAATAATCCACGAGTGTTTATAATGTGGTTGTAGATGAACCTATCAACTTTAAAATATAATAATTTGATCCCTCAATCCCAAGGCCAAGGAATATATGGTTGTGCACTTGTGCATGTATATGAAGACATGAAACTATGATTTGCTAGTATATATAAAAGAGGGAATTAAGGTTTAGATATTTAGCCAAGGGTTTGGTATGCATGAGCTTGTGGTCAACTGGTTCAGGACAAAGCTCAGCTGATCTGAGAATGCATGTTTTACCCAAGGTTGTAATTTGTGTGCTCTCTGATATAGTTTGTTGTATGTAACTTAAAAGGCCATTAGCTTGTTTGCCCCATCCCTTTGAGTATTGGGTTAACCCATTACGCATCAGCACTGTCCCCTTGACAAGTAAAATTAACTAGACACATGGGCAGATAGGCCAGTTACCCGGCCATTATAAAGCACCAGCAATCTCCCCTTGATGAGTAAAATCGTCTGGTGTTAGACAGAGTAAAATAATAAAATAGGCTGTATCAGGGTGCAATGCGACTCAATGGGTTAATTAACTCAAGTGCTGGCATATTTCTGGTGTCCTTGAGGTAAGGGCTGTTAATGCGACACTAGCCAAGTAAGGCCTGTTTCATACGTCGAATTTCGGTCGCGTCGAATGCAATTCAAACAATAGATAATGAAGCTTAATGAGGTTTAATCATCTCATTATCTATTGTCTTAATTGCATTCGACGCGACCAAAATTCGACGTATAAAACAGGCCTAAGCAAGACCTCACTGTGTGGTTATTTTTATAGTGGAAATTCCTAATCCTTTCAGTTTGTATGGACAAACTGACTGGCTCAGTTTTTCAGATCTCACATGAAAAAGGCAAGATCTCAGTTATATTCCGGGAAGATATTTTATGGCTATTAAGTATAACTGGACTGACTTGGTCAAAATAAAGTCAAAACAAATAAAATTGGTCATGAAAATATTGTCAAAACAATAGAATAGTGTCGGCAAGGAAATGATAAATTATTCTGCCAACCAGGCCAGCCTAGCTGGCTTCCACATTGATATAGTGGCCCTGTGG